GTGGTTTTCAGCCGTAATCGTGGGACTAGTGCCAGTTATTGAATGGTCTACGAATTTCCAGACGGATGGTCAGTGCCGGTTCTTACCATTTAACCTGGGAGAAGGATTCTCCGTCTTTTTCATCGTTATAAATATATTCAGTTTTCTTATGGCTCTAATTTGTACTATAGATACAATGGTTTTATTCAAACACATGAAACAAGTTGCAGTGGACAAATACCAAGCAGGTCGCTTTTATTTACCGAGTTCGGCCAGTGTTGTTAAAACAGCCAGTCAAACTGTACATGCCAAATACAATGAATTAACTTTTTCAACTGATTTGTGTCGTCTAGTCATAATATTGATTATTGGTGCTTATCTCCTGAATCATATACCACTTACAGTAAGTACAGCTTTTTTTTATTACATCACCTAACGTCTCGATAAACTTTCAACGCCCAACTCGTTTGCAACACTTCCAACAAAATCCAGCATTCTCGATGATCAATATAAAGAAGACCAAGGAATCTCTATCATAAGCATTTAATGACAATAATTGATTATTTAGGTCAACTGAAAATAATGCACTTGCATTCTGTAAAGATATTGTCATTTACATTCACACCATGTTTTATTTGATGCATAGACAGAACGACCACTATTTCGTATAAAGTACAACAAATTGATGCATGATAATGGCGAAGTCTGTCTAGCAGATATTGTGTGGATTAGATAAATTTATACAACATGGCCATAAAAACTGTTAATTACAAAAAGTAATTAAACAATGTTATTCTGAAATATAATATTGAAGTCATTAATTATCGGGATATCATTAAAATACGACAGTTTAACAATATCCTTTTAAAAATATACTCATACAGTTTACTTATTGACATTTTTACTTGATTAATTGACATTTATGACAGGTGTTAAATTCTCTCTTTATGCTGAGGTTCATTACTTTGTCAAAATACGTTTGAATGGGTTCATAATGTTCCCCTCAAATGACCTATCTGTTTATCCCACTGTTCAACAATATATGGGCTTTTGTTCACATTTTGTCAATATTTGTTCTCCCATTAACGTCTGTAGAGCTGTAATCTCTTAATTTTTATTTCCAACCCCACTTTACAACATGATGATATAATTATTATTACAAACGCATTATTAATATTAGTGAAAGGCAAGTCCGCAGACGGGTTTAACGCATAATTTATGATATAAATGTTTCAAAATATACCCAATGTGTTTACATTGAAAAGCCCTGAGATTCTATTACACTAACCTACACAAAAATCAAAATCATATTATCTCGATCCGTACCATATTCAGATTAAATGTTCCCACAAAATGTAGATAATTATAGATGTCCAGTGACAAAATTTTTCTAATCAAGTGAAAGGACAGCTGTTTGCATTTCATTGACCCCCAGTGACCTGACCTACTTTCCACCAAAAGAGTGCAATGTTTGAAGACTGGCCTCTAAATTGGTAATTGTAAGATCGACCTATTTAAGGTTACCGTTACTTTTACCTGATGACAAACTGTGGTTTAAAATTTGGTGATGTAACTATATAAATATCACTTTTCTGATTCTTTGACTGCTTAAGCTGGTATAACGAAAAACGTACTAAATCGCTTACAATAATCCTGAAAGTTATCTCCTCTTCCCATCTCATCTCCCCAAACCACAGTTTGGATCTTTTTGTACAAGAAATAAGCGTCTAACAATTAACAACGGTCTCTATCCCACCCCCTATTCACTTAATAAAACCTATTCTGACCATGTATAATTGCCAAGTAAACCTCTTATTTGCCGAATAAATGATTTCCTCTGCTGAAATCAATAATGGCAAATATAAATAAATATCATTATAAGATTCCCATGAGAGCCGTTCCTTCTTAGGGGTCTACAACATTTGCAACACCTTGGTAAAAAGGCTTACACCGTACCAAATCATTTCCATGCAGTGATTGATTCTCCACTTAAAACGTTTTTGATTACCGCATATCTTTGGTCACCAATAAAGTTATTTTAGTTCTTGTACATATGTTAATAACAAGTAACCAGCTGGTGAAATAAATAGGCTACAAAGTTTGAATTTTTACGGCTTTATATCGACTTTCTATAAAACGTTTTTAACAATATAGATATATCATTATCGCCTCTTTTATATACAAAATTGTCATTAATATCACTTTGGGGTACAATGGCTAACTGTTTTTGTTTGAATTACAATGGGTAAATGTTTTTTGTTTGAATTCGATGGTAAAATGTTTTGTGTTTGAATTAAAATAGATACCTGTTTGATGTTGCTTAACAATGGGTAGATGTTGTTGTTTTGAATTATAATGGACAACTGTTTTATATTTGAATTACAATGGGTTTTTGTTTTGTGTTTAAATTACAATGGGTTTCCGTTTTGTGTTTGAATTACAATGGGTAAATGTCTTGAAGTTGCCCGAATTTCTAACCTAGTTATGAGAATCATGCATGAAAAACTTGCATATATATAAAGAGACATTATACTATGAGTAGGTAGATAGATAAATCATGTTTTTATTACAACATTAGTTTAATAAAATCAATAATTTATATCAAGTGATTAATATTGTCATCAGCTTTAGTTACAGGTGGAAACAGTTTTTAAAGCAGAGTTTCTATAAAGTGACTGTATGTGCCAATTAATAGGGTATAATTGGAAATTTTCACATCACAGTTGTAATGAAGAATTGGTAATAAGGCAAATAATGAAAATATTTTAAATTGGGATGTCTTTCAAAATCAAATTACAAAATGCATTTAAAGGGTCAGATGCGCCATTTCGGAAGGTTTTTGAGACTTGATTATATGTAAAAAGTCTACAGAAGTATAAGAAAGTACGAACATCGCATAATTCCTTTAGAAATATCTTAAACTAGGAATTTATTTTCATATTTCTGTAGATGTTTTTTTCTATATAGACAGTGTCTCAAGAAAAGGCGACTAGTTCTTTTAACTTTCAAATTCTGGACACGTGAATTTTCATTTTTGAGATTAAGGTATGATTGGTCTAAAATGACGCACTTTTCCCTTTAATTAAACAACGATAATTCCCTCTATAGACATAAATGAAGAGTCAGATGGCTGACATTGTTTGTGGAGATCGGTAAATAAACCAGCATAAAATTCTGCAATCGAACCGGAAGTTGCACAAATAATCATAAACTCATGTATAGAATCCATACAGTAATCAATTGCGAATTCAAGCTACCATTTAACTTGTCAATTCACACGATAAAGTCTTTTCTATACACTGTGATAACAACTTAACAATAATGGACGCTTTGATATATTATAAATACATGTTAGTTTCTTACAATTAAACATCAACAAATATATTGGTTGCTAAGGGCATACTGAGTGGAGTAGTAAGACTGGTTTAATTTTTTTTCCCATCGAAGAAAAGTTTTTGAACATGGTTATCTCTCCTCTTGTAAATAATTAAATGGGGTTTAATTGTATACTAATAGGTCCCTTTATAATACAAAATTGTGGTGGATGGTTGTATTTACCACAGTTGATTGATCTTTACCTTGAACAGGGCTTTTTGACTTGGGCCAGTGCTTTTATAAATACCATGTAATTGTTGATGTAACAACAGATATTTTGAAGAAATTACTATAATACAAGTTACAAGATTTATAATACATCAATATATCAATATCCAATTTGTGGCTTTATTATTTATTTATTTACAAGAAAATACTCCCAAGACATAAATTTCTCGTCTTGTACCGTTATAGTTACATGGGTCTTTGGCTTTACTTCTAGTAAACGGGGCTATTTTTACAACCATTGCCAAGGAAAGTGACTGGCCATTCCAAATTAAGGATATTTAAGTTTATGTGATGTATATGGTTACCCATGCTCATTAAGCTTTCAAATATTTCAAAATAAATGAAAGGGTGTGTATATTATGTTACTCACTGGAAGACGCCCCAAAAATGTTTATGACTGTCCATTTCGACATCAAGTTATTACTCATGAGTTTACAACTTATTGACAAATCGTACTCGTGGATTATTCACCATTTATAAAATCCACAGCTGAGATTTCTTAATAGTTAAAGCCACTGTGCGCGAGATTCATTTTCATTTCGTTGAAATGGAGATTCCATTTCCCACTTTTAAAAGGGTATTCTGTTTGTTTTTGGTGAAAACTACACACCAAAATCTAGAGAAATGTGTCCTGTAACTATCTGAAAGTTTTCACTAAAAAAAAAACAGCCGTTAATTTTTTAACTCCAAAACTATTTAAAAAGTTTACGTAAGTTTACTTTTTGGAAGCTGCAGGGATATACTGTACGGATTTAAAGGGATTGTTAAGCGGTTTTCAAATTTTTTTTATGTGTATCGGGGACACTGATAGAATCAATTTGCACCAATTTTCAATCAGACGTATGTGGTTGCTGCAATTCCACTAAAACTAAGCATTTTATTATGTAAAATAAACTCACTTTATAAAATATTTAGCTTTAATGGAATTGCAGGAACCATGTGCAAATTGATGCTATCAGTGTCCCGATACACATGCAATTTTTTAAAAACCTCTTTACTATCCCTTTAAGTAAATATAAACGCCTAATTAAGGAGAAATGTTTCTCCTACGTATTCTAAAGGTTTCAATATTGAGCCATTATAAAGCGAAACATCAAATCTAGGTCAAACTGCTTAGTTAAAAATCAGTACTCTCCGTTTTTAGATTAACCATTTTAAATTAAGTTTGATCAAGAAGATACATAGATATAAATAACATACTTCAGGTATAATTTACGTTTCTAATAATGAAAATTTTCCATATCATCCCTTTAAAAGGAGTATCAGAACGTAAAACAGAATGTTTTCTGGGTTATATAATTCTACTTTTTAACTTTTTTCAAGATGAAGTTTGTGTATTTTTTTTTATCTGGAGATCATTTATAAAGGTTTATGAAGATGACGTTTGTATATAGGTTTTGTCTAGAGTAGTCATGTACATGTATAAAGGTTTATCAAGATGGCGTTTGTATATAAGTTTATCTATAGGAGTCTTGTATATAAGTTTATCTATAGGAGTCTTGAATATAGGTTTATCTATAGGAGTCTTGTATATAGGTTTATCTATAGGAGTCTTGTATATAGGTTTAACTATAGAAGTCTTGTATATAGGTTTATCTATAGAAGTCTTGTATATAGGTTTATCAAGATGGCGTTTGTATATAGGTTTATCTAGAGAAGTCTTCTATATAGGTTTATCAAGAGACGTTTGTATATAAGTTTATCTATAGGAGTCTTGTATATAGGTTTATCTATAAGAGTCTTGTATATAAGTTTATCTATAGGAGTCTTGTATATAGGTTTATCTATAGGAGTCTTGTATATAGGTTTATCTATAGAAGTCTTGTATATAGGTTTATCAAGATGACGTTTGTATATAGGTTTATGAACATGACAAACATGACGTATGTATATAGGTTC